TTACATTACATGACATGACATGACGTGACGTGACATTACATTACATTACATGCATTACATACCATACATACCATACATACATACATACATTACATGGCATGACGTGACGTGACATTACATTACATTACATGCATACACACATACATACATACATACATGCATACATACATACATACATACATACATACATACATACATACATACATACATACACACATACATACATACACACATACACACATCCACACATACACACATCCACACATGCACACGCATATATATATATATATTTATATTTACACATACATATATATATATGAATAAATATACATTAATATGCATATATCACACCTATATGCATATACACTTGTGCAGATAGTTACAACAATTGGAAAGAGACAGTCTGGGTAAATTGTGTTCATTTTCTGCCTGAAGAAACTCGTGATGGCACACTTTTTCCCGCTTCCTGAGCTGAAAATGCGTCAGCAATTTTGCCCATCTATAGATCCAAAGATTGTTGGCTATCACCAACATGAAGCAAATAATCATTGGGGGATAGAAATGTGTATGTATGTGATAATATATAGTTTTAATATATAATAATAATGAAATAACAGTAATAATTTAAATCATTATATATATCATAATATATTTTTATATTTCAATATTTATAATAGTGTATATATAATAATATGTATAACAGTGTATACAATCATATATATAATAGTATTTATACTGTAGATAAATAAATAAATAAATATTTATATATATATATTATAAATAATAACAATAATATATATATATATTTGATTATATATTTAATAATACATATATATATACTAGTATTTGTAATAATCTGTATATATATATATAAACTGTATAATAATACTAATAATATAAATATATATGTTTCCTATTATGTTTTATTATATTGTATTATACTATATTATATCATACTATTTTTTTATTATTTTTTAAAATATGTTATTATATTATATTATACTATATTATATTATATTTTATATTTTAAATATGATATATATATATATATACAGAAGGGGTACTCATGGGGGGCGCAGGTGTGCAAATTGTAGAATTTCGCATTTTTTGAGAGGTACTGTGATGAAAGCATCTTCACATGAAAAACATGCAAAAAAAGCAATGGAAAAAAATCAGACCCATGTCCCCAGCCAGGCCTCTCCCCAGACCTTGCCCATGGGTCTGAACTTTTTGTTTTTTTTGGTTTTCTCGAGGTTTTGGCCAAACTGCAAAAAATCATGGAAAAAAAAAACAAACAAAAAGTTCAGACCCATTTCCCCAGCCAGGCCTCTCCCCAAACCTTGCCCGTGGGTCTGAACTTTTTGTTTTTTTTGTTTTTTTTTGGTTTTCTCGAGATTTTGGCCAAACTGCAAAAAATCATGGAAAAACAAAAAAAACAAAAAAAACAAAAAGTTCAGACCCATGTCCCCAGCCAGGCCTCTCCCCAGACCTTGCCCCTGGGTCTGAACTTTTTGTTTTTTTGTTTGTTTTGGTTTTCTGGAGGTTTTGGCCAAATATAATGATTAATATCATGGTTCATAGAATGATAAATACAATGATTAATTTGAATGATTCTTTGAATGGTTTATATAATGACTAATATAATGATTATATATATAATGATTAGTATAATGATTAATATCATGAGTCCTATCATGATATATATCATGATTAATCTCATGATTCATTTAATGACTTATATAATGAATATTATAATGATTAATATTATGATTAATGTAATGACTGATATAATTCTGAATTTAATGACTAATATAACAAAATCAGGACTTTCGCAACCTCGCCCCCCATGACTACCCGCTCTCTCTCTCTCTATATATATATTTATAGGAAAACATTTGAATATGGATCAAAACATACTCTTGAGGGGATGAAACTCCATAAATCGCAGTTATTTTGCCGTGAGCAGAAGGGTATCAGGGTTTTGATCCACACCAACCATAATAACTTGGGAATATGACTGGCGGTTCGAACACTATTTCACGCCTGCCAGGTACTTGGCAGAAACGGATGAATTGCCAGCACTGAAAGCGAAGATAACCAGCAATGCTAGGGATGTAGCCAATAAACTGTTCACTGGTGCTTGACCCAATTCGTTTTCAATCCTATGTAGCGAGCGTATTGATTCAAACCACCAACTGGGGCTGGACGACATCGTTTTGATTTGGAATGGGATGCGGAATTTTGAGACATCCCCAGGGTGGTTATGGGTCCAATTCTCAAAAAGAAGTCGTTGATTTGGGTCATTTAGTAATTTAGTCCTATTGACATACATTGACACGTATTTTGTACATCACCCTCTGGTACCATCTGGTAAACTAACATAACTATGGAAAATCACCAATTTCATTGGGTAAATCCACTACAAATGGTCCATTTTCAATAGCAAACTGTTGACATAACCAGGCCGGGTAATCAGAATCAGGAGACCATGGCTTGGTTCGATGACTTTCCCAGCAGTCGACCCCTTGTTATGGGGATTTCCCATGTTCGAATAGCAGAGGGTATATCCATGTAATTCCATGTATATCCCATTCAATTCCAGATCATTCCAAATCCATATCCGATTCAAGTCCCATTACACCCACGGAATTCCTCCATGTTTCATGAAAAACCCCTGTTTGCGTCGTGAGGTCTTACACCTTGAAGAGTCAGAGGGTGTGGAAAGTCATGCTGTCAGTCAGCCCGAGGTGCGAGTTAGTGGGCCTCCGGTCATCAAACGAGGCTAGTTGGGAAATCCCTATAAATAGAGGTTTTAATCAGGAAAATCGAACTCAATGGTAGAAATTCCAGCGATGTTTGATTACCCCAACATTTCATTAAAATTTTATGGGGATTTGCTATGATGGGAATTGATAACCAACTTGATATTGCTGGGTTTGTGTACCTGAAAATGGACTTCAAACAATTGGACGGAATCGGGTACCAAATGTTCAGACAAACTCAAGTGTTTTCATGGGTGGATTTTGAGGCGTCAAATGATGCAAAATAATAAAAGTCCCATCCTACTATGAGTTCACTTTCTTTCATGGGAATCGGAGTATTTAAGATTTGACATGATTTGAGGTCCAGAGAGTGGGAGACAGGACCAACAATCCAGTAAACATCAGTAAACTGCCCCACAATTGGATAGTGAACAGCCATCGTTTGCCTAGACTCTAAGCCCAAAGGCCTCCCAAATGGTAGGGTGAATACCCCCAAAATCCCACGATTGATATTGCTTTTGTTCAGTAACATTGCAATTTTGATTTCAGGTATCTGGGGGATCCCTCGTTTTCTGAACCCAGGTGTATATGTATATAAAAGTTCTGACACAAACTGGACGCCACAAATTGCAAATGGGGATGATCATTGCTGTGGGATATCATGTGCATATCCCAACCCTGTTCACTTGTCCTATAGATAATACAAAGTTTTTTCTTTTGTTCCCCACCATTCCCCACCCATGTCAGTCTTGTTTTCCGCACAAGCTGTTTATACATAGTTTTATTTCATACATATGTCTACCTATGTGTATTTGATATATATATATGAACATAGTATATATTATGTGTATATATATATGAACATACATACATACATACATTACATTACATTACATTACATTACATTACATTACATTTACATTACATTACATTACATTACATTACATTACATTACATTACATACATACATACATACATATGAACATTATGTATTCAATGCATTTCTCGACCTTTGACTTCCAGTTTCAGCAAGCGAAAAAACGGGGGTGTGTTTGATGAGGCTTGGTCCAGTTGGTCCAGATGGTCCCATCCGTGATCACGGGTTTACCCTCTGGTAAACTAACAATTTGCTTTGGAAAATGGTCCGTTTATAGATGGTTTACCTCTAAAAAAGGCTGATTTTCTATAGCAAACTGTTAAATTACCAGAGGGTATGTCAAACCCACATGCAACCCATGGTGCTTGTATATATTTTTACCTACATGGTTGGCTGTTTTTTTGGGGAAATGTTGGTACCAGCAATGACGTCCTGACAGGCGTCCCCGGCGTCACAAACCGCATTGAGTCCCTCTGGTTATGACTAACAGTTCGCCATGGAAAGATCCACCATTTTTAAGAACGGTAAACCATCTATTTCTATGGGCCACCTATACCATGGCGAACTGCTAAATAACCAGATGGTTTCACTAAAAACCATGGATTGGAGATTCCAATTGATAACCAAACCACAACTTTGATACCGCAGATCGCTTTCCAAACAATGTCGACATATAATACATCCACATGTATATACCTACAGATATGCATTTTGCGTTGTATGTATATGATAAATTATACATATTCCAAAACATGTTAGTAATGCACACATCAACATGTGTATATATATACACACAGAGTAAGTATTAGGCTAATTTCAATCTGCACAGTAAGTATTTATTTCGCCCAATATACCGCTACATAAAGTAAACATGGGGTAGACAAAAATAAAAGTAACAGTTGATATGTCCACCCCATTTACTGTTCTTTTCAAACTATGGGTGTGTCTTGAAATCGAATGCCCCTAAATTTCATGGTGTAACATCAGTTTCATTCATGTTCCAACTTTTTGGATTGCCATAGATTGGGTGGCAAATATCACATTTTCAGGTACAAAAAGCCATATCTCTTCATGGTTACTGCTTGGAACTCCACGATTTCAGGTTTTAAGTCTAAGTTGATCAAACTTTTAGATCGATCTGAATTTATTGCAGGCATCAAGCAACCGGGATGAAACATCACGCACTGCTATATGAATAATTTCACATCCCTTCTGGTAATGAAACGTGGCTTGCTGGAAATCCAGCATTGATGATTTTCCCAACGATAAACAATATATATAATATAATGATATAATGTAGTATAGTGTAACGTAATGTAATATAATACAATATTAATATATGTATAGTATAATATATATATATATACAGTATACTATATATATATAGATAATATACTATACTATAATATAATATATATATATATGATATATGATATAAATGTATATATAAATATATCATATAATATATCAAACAATATACACCTCCATTCAAAGTGAAAAACTTTCCGCCAGGTTGTCGACAACTTGCTGCCCCAGATCCGTCGCCAGTTGCGGCGCTTGATCAAAAGCCCCCGACCTCGTCCCCCGGAGATCTGTCGCAACTCCAACAAGGCTGGAGATGGCGAAGTGGTTGAGCTAAGTTGGTGCAAATAACTACAATAACTAGGGTTTATGGTAGTTATAACTATAGTTAGATTGGGTTATAAACCAACTTATCGTGATTTGTTTCTTTTTTTTCGAAATCACTTGATCAATGGGAATTTCTCACAAAATATGGCCAAACATATGGTACTAATGTACCTCCATTTTAGGATCCTGGAATTCCCATTGACTTGGTAAATCCAGATTTTTTTTCGGGGAAATCACGATCCATAGATCCGATGAAACGCTTGTGTTTTCTGGGAAATTGATAAGAAATGATCGGCATTTCTGGGAGAAATCCATGAAGCGATAGACATTTGTATGGAGTTCTTACAACAAGAGATTTGATGAACAGTTTCCATGGTAAATGTTAAATGCGAAAAACAAGTTTCTCAGAAACATCCAGGAACTGGTCGAAATCTGCCAGGAGGAACTGTTGGCGTGGTACAGATTCTGGGACTCCAAAAAACAAGGCCGGGGCGGCGCTGAGCTTTGAACGGTCCGTTGGAAGGTCCTGGAAGGTCCGGTTCTAGAAACGATCTGATTCACATGGATTCATAGCAAAGTGGTGGTTTGGAACCATGGAATTTTATGACTTTCCAGAAACAGTTGGGAATGGAAAATCATCCCAACTGACTTTCAGTCCATGATTTTTTTCAGAGGGGTAGGTGGCTCAACCACCAGACAGGCTTCTAGTCATTAGCTCGATTTTATCTATACACATTGTATTGATTCCATAATCTTCCCATCTAAAGGTTGCTCCTTTGATATAGATACCTAACGGCAGGTGATCCTTGTCGATCTTGATTCACCAGGGCCACCACAGCTAGATTTTGTATGGGAAAATCCCATCGGATGATAACTGGGGGTACCTCTTTTTTTTTTGAGCAAACTTCGACATTATGGGAATCATCATTGGAATGCTGGAAAAGAAGTCTACCTAGGTACTTTTCTTTCTGAAACACCTCTGTTTTGTTTCTGAAAAATCAAGTGTGAGGTGTCTGGTATTGTTCATTCTCAACCAAATTCAATGTGGGAAACATTCCAAAACTTGGTTTGTGAATCAACAATGGGTGGTCCAAAGCGAAAAAATGACGGGGATTTGAATCCAACCCCAGTCATGGTCGATATATCTATGTAATTTATGTATGTGTGTATATATATATATTTACTCAGTAATTGGGATTTTTCTCCGGCTAAAGTGGTGCTGTTTCACCATCATTTTGGTCCAGGCTTCGACACAAGCACGACTAGGAGATTCCATCAACAAACCAACGGATGCGTTTTCGTCTTTCATGTGTCGTCAGAGTTTAACCAGCAAGCACAAGGATTTCACATGAATTACCATCTGGTTATTTGGCATAGCTATGGAAAATCCATTGTAAATGGAGGTTTTAATGGGAAAATCATCTGTAAATGGGCAATTTTCCATAGCTATGTTATGTTAAATAACCAGAGGGTAAGTGCCCAAAACATCCCATAGTCAAGAATGGTGGACACAGAAGCACCGGGATTTCTCAGTATTATTGAAGAAACATGAAGCAACAATGAGAAAACATTTACCTTAAGCCATGTTTGATGACACTTTAATGGTACATCCCAATATATCCCAATATATCCCATATGATATCCCGAAAAATATACCCTCTGGTAAACTAACATAACCATGGAGAATCACCATGTTTAATGGGAAAATCCACTATAAATGGTCATTTTCAATAGCTATTTTGACATAACCAGAGGGTATCGCTATCATATCCCATCACACTGCCGCCAAATCCTCACAGAGCGCCTCAGGTAACCTGAATGTTCCGACCTTGACCCTGGCGGTGGTGACCACCTTCCACACAGCCCTAGCCAAGACGGCAGATGCTCAGACTAAGGTGCCAATGATGCCGGATGATGCCGGCGATGCCCAAGCGTTTTTTTTTTGGAAGGTGAATATCTTTGTTGTTGTGATGAATTTTCCTGCAATCATCTGCAATAATCTGCAATCGTGTTATTGTTTGTTATTGTGTTTCTTCCTATTTTTAGCACAAATCTGGAGATCTGTGTGGTTTTGGGGATTTTTTTGGGCCAGAGGATGAATTGAAGTGACCTTATTGGCCGAACAAACTGGGACCTGGGATGTTTTTTGATTTTGTTTAGACATGAGCCAGAAATTGGGAACAACTGCCCTAGCAAAATACTTGTTTGTATGACCCCAAATTCTCAACTCCTCGAATTGATGATTATTTTGAGAACAAAATCATGACTTTTGGTAGGGCCATGGGTACTATACCGCAGTGTGGCCCAATTTTGTGCCAAAACCACATGTTCTGCATTTCCAACCCTCAAGCCTTGAAAAGTGGCGGGTGGGTTGCTGACACAAATTTTGCCGCACGGGCACGTTCCCACAACGGGGTCGACCGTGGATGGGTAGAACAACTCAATCTTTTGCTATAGGAAGATGGAAGGAATATGTACTGATCAGCTTTAGAAAACATGGTATCTAAGATAGGCTACGAGAAAATTTTAGGACAGACGAACGTTTTTTCATTTCTAAAATGCTAAGACTGGTTGGGCTGGGGATCTTTCGATGTTTGGTGAAGTCCTGCTCTTTGATCTTTTCGAATACAGCCATGGCCCCCCATTTTCTGCGCTAGGTACACTGTATTCCAATTTCCTTGGCTAAATCCCTGTGTCTTGGTCATTTTCTCTCAATGTTTGTTGGTTGTCAATTGGGCCTCCTCAATTTCACTGGTTCCATCCTCGCGTTTGTCATGATGTGTTACAGAAAAACATCATATTACATCCCACTTTTGCTTAAACCCCGCTGCAAGATTTGTTTGGTCAAATCTTACAAAGTTGTGGTAAGTTACCCTCTGGTAAACTAACAGTTTGCTATGGAAAATCACCATGCCGTTAATGGGAAAATTCACTATTTCTAGGGCCATTTTCAATAGCTTTTTGTATGTTTACCAGAGGGTATCATTTTAATGATTGGCAATGGCAATGGACAAACCGTCAGAATCCTTGAGGAGGCCCCGCAGATCAGATATAGATCCGTTTATAAACGCATGCCAGGTCCTAGTGTACATACCGTCCAGGCACAGTATATACATATAATATAAATATGTAGGTATATATATATATATTCTGTCCGGGTCCACAATAATAAATCCCACAAAAATAATATATTAGTTATTTCTACCAACAAACCCCTAAGACCTGTGGTTTTGGGCCCCCTCCTTTGATTTTTCAGGTCTACTTGCAATTTTACACAGGTAATTTTATAAAGCAAACCATTAAACCATGTTAAACCCAAATGGATTTTGTTGTTTTCCAGTATTATAGCTGTTTGCTATGGAAAACGGCATATTTGTAGATGGTTTTCCAATTAAAACCAATGGATTTTGTGATTTCCCATTAAACATGGTGATTTTTCCCAGGGATGTCCGATGGAACGCCGGTAAATTGGCAAATCATTGAGCCAAATTGGCCATATGTTTCGTCACCAGAGACTAAACATGGTGATTTTCCAGTAAACGCCTGGTTTTTTAGAGGATTTCCCATGAAAGATTGTGATTTTCCCACCAAAAAAACATCAAGCAACCTGCATTTGTCCAGGATTTCCCATGGTTTCCGTGGTGATTTTCGGGGCCAGGATGCAATTGCCCATGCCTTCCTGACGGAGTTGGGCTTACGGGAAAGCGACACTGTCACTGAGTCACAGTTCATTGAAAAGATGGCACCATGGCAGCAGTCGACGGAGAATCATGGGCTTGAATAGTGGTTTGTGATGGTTGAAGAATGGTTTAAATAACCCATATGCGAACCATGGTGCTGGAATATGTACCAACATTTGCAAAAACACCCAGCCATGTAGGTAAATATACCATACATTGAGCATATGGGTAAGATGGTTAAATAAGATGGGCAAATAATGGTTAAAATAATGGTTTAAAGAATAGTTTAAGCAATAGCTGATAATGTAGTGGTTGAGTAGTGGTTAAATGGCTGATAATGGTTAAGAATTATTAATAATGGTTAAATAATGGTAATGGTGATTAAACAATGGGAACCATGATATATCTGGGTAAATTACAACGAGCTCACTGTTCGACCGAACCCTGGAATCATGTTTTTTTTAGAGGAATCATGATAATCATCCCAAAATGGCATTATTTCAGGTTAGTGAAATATTATAATTTACTCAGAATCATGGTTTTTCATGATGGTTTATACTGGTTAAGAATTATGAATAATTTTTTAGGTAATGGTTAGTTCATGGCTAGAGAGAAATGGTTTGAGAATGGTTTACTAATGGTTAAATGATGGTTTCATCATGGATAAAAAGGGTCAGTTTTCGATCCTAACTCGCGCCCAAGTGATAGCACTTGACTGTTTCAACCTTGAAAAGTGGATATTTCGTGGCACATGACCAGTGATGATGTCATTGCTGGTTAGAACTACCAGTAAACTAAGAGTTTGCTATGGAACATCAATGAACATCACCATGTTAGATTGGTGTGGGTAAATCATCGAAGTAAAATGGGCCATGGCTTCATTGGGGCGTCCCATCCACAAGAAAACTATGATAGTCCCAATTGACAATGTGGGGATGGGTCAAATCCTATTACAGTCGTATCATATTTGGAGTAATTACCCTCTGGTAAACTAACAGTTTGCTATTCAAAATGACCATTTGTAGTGGATTTACCCATTAAAAATATGGTGATTTTCCATAGTTACGTTAGTTTACTAGAGGGTATTCGGAATAACCATCCATTAACCATCCATTAATAAGCTATGACTTTGGGTACCGTTTGGGTCCTAGGCTTTTGACCCATCCCCATATGAGATCCTGCTCATGAAGCCGGTCTCGTAATGTTGTGGCTAAACCTTGATGTTTGTCACTTTAATGCTTATATATATATTCGTATATACTTATCTATATTCACACACTATCTCCCTAGATGTATCATATATATATATTGCAATATATATCTGTATATATACATATATACATGATAACCGCTGTCATCGGCCATTTTTTGCACAACATTTTCACCCCCGTGTCAGGTAGGGATATTTTTATCGGTCGATCCTATTAGTTGATGAGTTGAAAAACCCATTGCCATCATGATTTCCTGGCAATTTTCCAACCGAAGAACTGACACAAAACCACTTCTTCTGACCAGATCGCCATAACTACCTGGTTGAAAAAAGGGAGTACCAGAACCCATCGACTGGGAACCTCTACAATCAGCAAGTTTTGATGGGATGATACTCTGCGTCGGCACCAGCACAGCTATGGACATCCACGGTTTTCCGTTCGGAAATGATGTACACATGGTGGGTTTTCCATATAGATATATAACTATAAACTTGTTAGTTTACTGGAGAGTATATTATTCCATAATATTCCCATCATATGCCAGCAACTCTTTGTTGTAAATCCCATGATAATCGCATATATTCGCCATCATATTCCCATGATATTCCCATGATATTTCCAATTCTGGAGATTTTTCTCATCATTTTTCCCATGGATATTTCCATGATCATCGCATTTTCCCATGATTTTTCCCATGTTTTTCCCAATTTTTCCAAGCCCGTGGCCTCTACGAGGCTCCTCAGTTGGTGGCGAACTTGCCCGTGGCCATCGAACGGGGCCATCCGTCGGGGTCCCTCGATCCCAAGCTGCCCCTGACGTCGGGGAACCCGGCGCATGTAGTTTTCTTAGATATAATATGCAATCATATGTAATATATATATATATATGTGATTATATATATATAAATATCAATATGATCATATATATATATGATTGTATATACATATGATTATATATAAGGTACTCTGGTCACTTCGAATATGCCTTTTTTCAATTTCGCAGTTGAACTCGATCGCTCATCAACTTAGAATATTCGCCATTTCATGTTCATTTTTTTCTCCCCATTTGGTGAAAAAATATTTTTTCTCCCCATTTGAATTATCAACATATCACCCATACTGCAGCATAGATGGACAAATATGTTGACATTTTTCAAATTTTCACCCCACCAAAAATCCTTTGAATTATCAAAATATCATCCGTACTGCAGCATACAAGAACATTTTTCAAGTTTTCACACCACTATTTTTTTGAATTATCAAAATATCACCCATACTGCAGCATAAATGGACATAAATGGACATTCTTCAACTTGTCATCCCACTAAAATCCTTTGAATTATCACCATATCACCCATACTGCAGCATAAATGGACATAAATGGACATTCTTCAAATTTTCACCCCACCAAAATCCTTTGAATTATCAAAATATCACCCATGCTGCAGCATAAATGGACATAAATGGACATTCTTCAACTTGTCATCCCACTAAAATCCTTTGAATTATCACCATATCACCCATACTGCAGCATAAATGGACATAAATGGACATTCTTCAAATTTTCACCCCACCAAAATCCTTTAAATTATCAAAATATCACCCATACTGCAGCATAAATGGACATAAATGGACATTCTTCAAATTTTCACCCCACCAAAATCCTTTGAATTATCAAAATATCACCCATACTGCAACATAAATGGACATAAATGGTCATTTTTCAGATTTTTCACCCCACTAAAATCTACCAAAACACCATAAAATAATTTTTGAAATTGTTCAAGATCACCGAAGGGTACCCCCCACGACCGGCGTCGTAGAACTATGAAAAAAAGCTATTTTGCAATGAAAACGAATGGAATTAGTTGGTGTTCCTGAAAAAATGGATGAATATTTTCACTGGGGACCTATATTCTATGTATGTAGTTCTGAAGAGAAATTTGGTCTTTTCCATGTATAAGGGTATATATTATATATACGTAAGTCCCTTTGGGGAGTAGCAACCCTGGATGTTTGAAGTTCCTAAATTAAAACGTTTCAACAAAAAAAACAGGTCCCCGAAATGATCAGTTTCTTTTTATATTGTATTTAAAACATGATTTTTCCAAGCTCACCGAAGGGTACCCCCCACGACCGGTGTCGGAGAACTATGAAAAAAAATTATTTTGCAATGAAAACTAATGGAATTAGTTGGTGTTCCTGAAAAATTGATGAATATTTTCACTGGGACCGATATTCTATGTATGTAGTTCTGCAAATTACAATATACGTATTCCCTTTGGGGAGTAGCAACCCTGGATGTCTGAAGTCCGTAAACTAGAACGTTTCAACAAAAAACA